CATTTGATCCTTATTCTATATATATATATATATATATATATATATATATATATATATATATATATATATGTGTGTGTGTGTGTGTGTGTGTGTGTGTGTGTGTGTGTGTGTGTGTGTGTGTGTGTGTGTGTGTGTGTGTGTGTGTGTGTGTGTGTGTGTGTGTGTGTGTGTGTGTGTGTGTGTGTAGGGAAGAGTTCAAATAAAAATACCTCTTCCCGTGCAAAGTGCGAACAAATGCACTTTTGCATGTTTCGCTTGCACTTTTGCATGTTTCTGTTGCATTTTTTCGCGGTAACGAAAAAGTGCAACATATTTACGAAATTGTCACCGCGATTTTGGTCGAATTTGGATTTTTGGCTCATTTTGAGCCATTAGATGTGGAAATGAATGCACAAAATTCATTCTCACTTTGCATGGGAAGAGGTCTTTGTATTTGAACCATCCCCTTATCCACAAAAAAAAATCAACTAAAAACTCAATCCGGAAGGTCGTCAAATGATTTTTGGAAGTTAACTGCGTTTTTTATGTATTTTTTTGCGCAGTTAACTTCAAAAAATCATTTGACAACCTTCTGTATTGATGTTTTAGCTGAATTTTTTTGTGGATAAACTAGACTTGATGAAGAACATGCCATAAAAATTTCATAAAAAAACCACCGGGAAGAGCCCCAAAAACAGTCGGCCGGACGGCGGTTCTGGTCAGGAAGACCTGTGCTTAACGTGAGAACGTGAGAACACTCACAATTAACCCAACGTGATACACAATAGAACCCGTCTGGTGCACATTTTGACTTTGCTCCATATAAGCCTGATGGATAGTCTACCCTAGGGTATGTATCCGAAGGGTTACAGCGGGGAGTAACTAGAGAGAAGTCAGAGCAAAAGTAAGAGAAAGAGAGTGTATTGCTGAGAATGTAATGAGCGAATTTAGCTTGGATTACAAATGGGGAAAAGGGGCGCTATTTATAGTAGTAATAAATGCCAGATAGGGACACGTGTCATCATTCTGGTGGTCGAGGGGTCACATCAACGGGTGGCACTGGCATTCGCATGTGGCCACATTAAATACGGCTGTTGGATGTGACGTCGTACTCGGTACGGTGATTCAGGGGCATGTGGAGAGGATATTATGTCGAGAAAGGTGCCCTCAGCTGCAGATTATTAGCCGAGGGCTCTGAGTACCGGGGACCTCCTTAGTGCCGAGGGCTCTAGATGCCGAGGGCTATTGATTTTCGCTGTTTTCTCCCAGTAACTTTGTTTGCTTGAGTTGGCCATCCTATGAGAATTTGGAGCCTTCGGCCAGGGGGCCGAAGGCACCCCCAGTGTGCCACATGGGTTACTCAGTACTTGGGGCGCTGTGATTTGGGTCTGCTGTGCTTCCTGGGCCTATTGGGCCTCCTTTAGAATAGTAGGAGTCTATGGGCCGGGGGTTCCTGGGCCATATACTCCATCAGGAGTCCCTCACTTCTTTTGCCGAAAGGTACTTGAGGGAAAAGGAGTAATTTGTGTTTGTCCTTTGGTGTTGTTCCGTTGTAGTTTGTAAAGTTTGTGAGTAGTTTGTTGTGTACATGTTTCAGCCGAGGGCAGTCCCTCAGTTACCCACATTCCGGGACTTGAGGGATCATGTTTGTTGTTATGGGAGTTTTTGACATTTTTTGTTTTTTTGAGGTTTTTCCCGAAGGGGTTCTCCAGTCTCTCACTCCTTGAGGCACTTGCAAAGTGGTGAAAAGGAGTAGAGTAGTGCCTGCCTGCAATATGAAGCCGAGGGGTGACGCTTTTCGCTTCATTTTGGGGGGATGCCTCGTTAAAAACCTCATTGGAAAAAAACCTTTGGGAAAAAATTCCGATGAGGGAAAAAGAGTGCACCGAATTCCCCTAATGATGAGTCGAAAAGGTGAAATCCCGGTTTGAAATGAGCGGCAGTATTTTTGCCGAAGGCTATCCCTGTCTGAAGGCACGTGTATTGATTTGCCGAAGGTTCGTTGTTGTTATCCTGAGAGATGCCGAAGGGGGAGCCCTCAAATTATGAGAATGAGGGCGCGATGAATGTGGATGATATTTCCGGTGTTGTCGAGGGGCCCCTTGTTTGTTGCCAAGTTGGGGGCTGTGGTGCCCCGAGGGGTTTCCTCGTTGCGTAGCCGGGGGTAACTGTTGATGAAGGTGTGCTCCCCGGGGGCTATGTGGTCCTCAATGTGTTTGAGGGCTGAGTGTTCCCGAGGGGTGTGCCCGTTGTGAAGCCGTGGGCCTCTAAAGGAGTGAGCCCGAAAGCATTTGTGATGTAGTATGAGGGGCACAAGCTGGGAGCACCTCTGGGTAAGTGTACCCGGAAGCTCCTCTTGATGAAGTGGAGTGAAGGAGAAAGCCCGAGGGCTAGTTTTTTGGGTGATGAAGGAGTGGTCTGTCGAGGGTGCGGTCTTGGTTCCCAAAATATAGCCGTTGTAATAGAGCCGTTGGAATATGTAACATCAGAAATATAGCCGTTGGGGGGGCTTCCACTTGGCATGCGTTCGTTGGCTGCCTGTGGGCGGGCGTCACCGATTGGGCAACTCGTCGGTTTGTAATGATGACTTCGTACCGGAGGCCCGGTTTTCGGCCCAAGCCCAGATTTGCGGTGCCTATAAATACCCAAGGCCATGGACCACTTTCGATGTGCGATCATTGTTGTTAGCGGAGCTCTGTCGAATTTTCTAGAGAGAGAAACTCCAGCCTTCGGTCAAAACTAGTTCTCAGAGGTCAGTTCTCCCTCCGCTCTTGGAAATTCTTGCATACTTTGCTTCCCGACCTTAGATTAGTGTTCGTAGCTTAGAGCCTTTAGTATCTCCCTCCGAACCCTCGATTTAGTATAAAAATGTCTTCACAAAGCGATTCCCAAGACATCTCGAGGGAGCCTTCGATGGAGGAGGAAAGCTTCTCAGACGTGGAGTCCACGAGTGAGCAACCCTCGGCCGAGAATGATGCCGCAATGGCCATAGAGGTACAGAAGGACCTTGTGGCTGAAGTCAAAGCTGAGGACTTCGAGCAGGTAATCGAAGACGAGGAGATGGCCCTCGCCGTTCAAGTCGCTGAGCAAGAGGAGAAAAAGGAGATGTCGAGGGTTACTATTGTCGCCCTTCCCCCCGGAATGCGGGCCACGCCCCTCAGGGTAGCCCCCGGGGCGAAGAAGATGAAGAAAACGGGAGCTTCCAAGAAGAAAGGTGCAGCTGACCAAGGGAAACCGGTTGGGATCCCCGAGGGGTATTTCTGGTTGAATATTGTTGCCCTCGCGATAAACTCGAAGGCTGATCGGGCTGATTGCTACGTGACGCAGTTGCACGTGGGGCCCTCAGCGGACGTGGTTGAGCCGGGCATGAATGACTTACTCTCCCAGTCTCCCGAGGGGTGTTTTGCAGTCCACACCCTCTCCGTCTCAATGGGCCTCCGGTTCCCGTTGCACCCCTTCCTCCTGGAGTATCTTAGGTACGTTGGTCTAGCCCCCTGCCAACTTACCCCAAACAGTCACTCCTATGTTGCGGCCTTCCTGCGTCTCTGTGAATCCAGGGGGTGGCCCCCACTCTGGACCTCTTTTTCCAGAGCTTCAACCTGTGCAGGGGGGGGCATGCTAACTCCGAGGGCTATGCGAATCTTCAACAGATTGCCCCGTGGAGGCTCTTCGACGACGTCCCCTCGCCCCACAAGGGCTGGAGGGACCGGTTCTGTTACGTAAAGATGCCAGGTAATCCATTCCCGAGGGAGCTGCGGGATCGTTTCAGGCGTCACCCGAATGTGGGGAGTGTTGCCCTCGAGAGGGCCGGGAGGATCATCTCCGCTATCCCCGAGGGGCGCAAAAAGCACATGATGGTCAAGGAGCTGACCCTCGACGATGACTTGTATGGGCTGGGCTTCTGCCGTTTTTGTTTCTTAGGGGAGACGGGCGCTAAGTATCATGTCCTCGAACATTTTGTAGGAGGTAGGTCTCCGAGGGCTCTGCTTTTTTGTACTTAGGATTTTGGGCGTACATTAATTTTCTTTTCTTTCTTTGACCCTCCGGCCTCATTTGTTCCCCCCCCTTTTTTTTTTACTTTTGCAGGTGCTGAAATGGACTTGAAAAACTTCGCGGGCTTCATGAAAAAGTCGACGAAGGAGCCCAAGAAGAAGGACGGGGGCGTCCAGAAACCCCTCGACGCATTCCCCAAGAAGGTTGGGGAACCTTCGGCTACTGCCCCCGCTGATGCTGCTGCCAAGAGGAAGCCAGCAGGCAAAGTCCCGCGTCCTGAAGGAAAGAAACCCCGGAGAGGGGATGCTGAGAAGAAGACCCCTCTGGTTGTGGTCGTGGGGGAGGACTCTGCCTCCGGGCTTCACGTTGTGGCGGAGACCACTGCCTCTGATCCTCCTTTGGCACAGAGGGGCGAGGGGGGCCTATCCCGGGAGGACGTACCTTCTTCCCTTCTGAGGGGGACCATACATCCGATGGAGTTCCTCCGGGGACCTACCCCCTCTTTCGACAGGGCCGCCCTCGGCAAACTTGAGGACGAAGCCCTCGAGTCCAAGATCCTCCGGTCTTCCCTCACTGTGAGTTGTCTCCCTTATCTTCGCTTTTCTTTAAGGCACTTAGTATGGTATCCTGACCCCCCTGTTATCTCCGAGCTTCTATTGCCCTCGGTGAACAAGCTCGAAGGCTGGATGAGTGGTGCCTCCAGAGGGCCCAAGATGCTGAGAAGATGACGAACCTGGTTCACGACCATCATGACGCTGTGAGGCGGATGGCCCAGCTGGAGGAGGACCTTCGGGTAGCGAGGGAGGAGGCCGAGAGAGCAAGGAAGGAGAAGGCTGAAGCTGTCAAGGCTGCACAAAAAGCCGCTGATGAGGCTGAGGCTGCGAAAGCGGAAGCTGTTGCCCAAGCCCGGGGGGATGCTGTGGCCGCCTTTCATGCTGAGGGGTGGAAAGCTGAGGGTGAGGAAGGATGGGTTTCCTCGGTTGTGGCAGCCTCGGTAGATGACTAGGTTAAAGGCCCCGGGATTGAGT